GAAGGTGGCATTGATGTATCTGATGTGGGATTGGTATTGCGCTGAAGCGCGTTGACTCAGGGAACTGTGAACTCATTGTAATCATAATTTTTGATAATATAAGTGACGGGTCTTGGTCCTATTCTCATCTACCTTTGTCTCGTGTGTGGCAACTGTGTCCATTGAGTGTGAAGACGATGTTTGATGTATGCACATCTGCGTGAGTTGGTCCCCAGGACCCATGCACTTATTACGCCCTTCAGCACAAACTCTGTCGAGGTTGCTGCGGAAGGCAGTGTGAGGCAGGTGTTAATAGAAATGTTGTAACGATGTTTTTCTTCAGGTTTTGGTGCTGGTTTATGTGCTCATTTCCAGCTGGTTTGCAGTTCTCCTCTTTCACAAGACCCCTGAAGGCCAGACGTATTTCCCAAAATACGTCAGCACACTTTATGCGATGGTCCTTTTGTTGACTGGGGCCAATCTTCCAGACATTGAAATCCCTGCCTACCGGTGAGTGACCTCGTCATCTTGTCGCTCTCCCTCTCCTGATCAGAGGCCTCCATCTGAATGTTGGGTTTTGCTCCACCGCTGTTGAGGACTTGAAGCAGATGGACAAGTTTCATATCACTTGACCTTCTTCCATTCCAGTCATGTAATAAGTCGTATACCAGTCAAGTGCCAGTTGTGTCCCAGTCCTCCTGTACCAGTCCTGTGCGACCCGTGTCCCAGTACTGGACCAGTCCTGTACCAACCCTATACCAGTGTTCATTGGCCTCATTGGAGACCTGCAAAGTGGCCCCAGCCAGCCAGAAGGCAATATGTCAGATTCTCGTGCTTCTTATCACCCTGAGAGTTTGTTTTCACTTGAGAGTCAGACTGTTATTTTCTTTGTTGGCACAAACTTTTGGCACAAAGTTGTGCAAACTTGTTTTTTCTTCTCTCGTTTATCTTGCCTGTGCTGAACTCCCTACTCTACTCCTCTCCTCCCTCCCCATCACCCTGTGGAGAACTGCTGAATGCATATGAATGAGTATCACTAAGAGAGCAGACAAAATATAAAGTGCAGGTGTGCATTCTCTCTCTCTCTCTCTCACACACACCTGCTCTTCTCCTCCCTACTCTACTCCTCCCCTCCCCCCCCCTTCGCCCTATGTAGAACTACTGAATGCATACGAATGAGCATCGCGAAGAGAACAGACAAAATATAAAGTACAGGTGTGCTGAATGGCAAAATGTTGTGTATGCATCCCATGCTCAAGTACACGGGCTTGGTGGACCTTGCATTTTTTGGCCGTTTCATCAAAACATGCATTCGTCACAACTTTTCGATCGTTTAAAATATCACATATAACCTGATAGAAGACTGTAAGGTCACGCGCCTGCGTCAACAAGGTTTTTTTTTGGTGACAATCTACAATGCAGACACATGCACACACATTTTGTTGCCTTTTGTGCACTTGGATGATAAAGTCATCGAGGGTATGGAAGAAAACCTCCATGGAGGAAGAGTTGTTGTAGGAGGGAGAACACCTGGCTGTGGATGTAGAGGGAGAAGAACCTCACGTTAGGCTATGGAGGTAGGTGGAAGAGACAAGTAGAGAATAGGAGGATGAAGGAGGGGATGACACAGAGATTTACTTACGCCTAAGGTGGAGCTTCATCTCCGCTTCCTTGGTTGGCGTCTCACCTAGAAGGCTCCTGCTGGGGTACCGGTTGGACATGGACATCGTTCAGGAGTGTGGCTATGGCCGTAGGAAATGGGAAATGCTTGGTAGTAATGCTTTGTCCTTTCCACATCCAATGGGTGAACCACCATAACCAGTTTTGCAACCATGAGAAGTGGAGAGAGAGAGAGGGGACTAAAGGAGAGTTCTTTAAGTTATGGCAGTAAGGGGGGTCATTCAGACATTGTTCATTCTTTCTTTTATTACGATATTTGATAATTTTGATTGTTAAAAAGGGGAGGAAGTGCTTATGTGAGGGAAGGTGATGATGGCGAGAGGAGGGAAATAACATTGATCCAAAAGAAAAAGCTGAATCCCAATTCTGAATACCCAATCACAGTTTCAGTGTGGTTAAGGCATCCTGCTGTTCTGGCTGAGGTCAACGGTCCGACTCGTTACGTGGCTAGCATGACTAACTGCTAGTATTTGAATGACTTGTGCTTTTTCTGTTTGCTGTTGTACAGGGAATCTCCCCTTTCCTGCATATTTTTTGTGATTTATTTGGTTGTTGGATTCTTTATATTGCTGAACATCCTTTTCGCCGTAATCTTCGACAGCTACAAGCATCAGGCAGGTTATGGTTTCTGCTTGACCCTCTCTCAGTTCTTTGAACCACTTTCCTTTTCTGTTTGAAGTCATGAATGAGATAGTTATATTTTATTCATTTTTTCAAAAGAAGAAGAATGAAATGAACCAAGTACTCGTCTAGTTCCACTTCGCATACATCAATGAACATTCACATGAGAGATCACATGTGAGAAGCCAAACCGAGATACAATCAACACATGTAGAAGTCGTCTCCAAATTATTATTAATGTACAAGAAAGGTTTGCCTCACGCTCTCAACTTCACAGCGACTACGGCTTCTCTCCCTCTCTCTCTCTCTCTCTTCTTCTTCTCTCGGCAGTCCAACTCTTCTCTCTGGCTTGGCTCGGTCTGCCTCACTCTGTCTCTCTCTCTCTCTACTCTAGATCGTTACATTGGATACACCCACTCAGGTAAGCTTCACACTCGGCAGCTATGGCCACCCTACTCCCTTCCTTCCTCTACCCTAGCTATGGAGTAACCCTCGAGCGCCCTCTTCCTCTCCAGGTGCGAAGTGCCCAAGTTGCCTTAACGCACAAGCAGCAGCAGCGCTTCTGCATCTTGCAATTGAACAAGTAACGAGCTGCTGCACTGTAGCAGCTAAATATAGGACAGGACTTGGCTTGGCCTGCTTCAGACCGGTACCGGTCGGCCGCGGCCTGCCTGCTGCAAACATTTTGTTGGTCCGGTAGCTTCTGGACTTTCCTGGGACATGCTGCAAAATTGGACTTGGGACTGCTGGAATGGACTGGACTTTTCTTGTCGGGCACCAGATGGACTTCTACCGAGCTGCGACATTTTGGTACCGAACCGTACGGACGTATGACTCTTCCGCCTATTTTTCCGATGGCCTATCCTACTGGGACAGCCTGGGACTGAGACACTTCGAGACCCTGGGACCGGGACTGGGGTGTCTGCAGCCTGAACCCTTTCACTCCCGCTGGCTAATTTCGAGACCCTCTGTAACGGGAGTGAGGCTGAGGGTGAGCCGAGGGAGAGGAGAGAGAGAGGGAGAGAGTGAGAGCACACACACACACTCACTCACTCGACACGACGGACTCRGACTGAGGGTTGGACGCAGACACAGTGGCAAGGCACAAAGTCGAAGTCTTGGATTCCCAATGCCGAAACGGCAAGTCACACTGAGTACAAGTACAGCAGCAGAGAACTGGTACGAGACTGGTCCCCGTACCGTACGGGGAGCCGGTATAAGTACCGGTGACACGTACGGTACCAGGGGCATTTCTGCAAAGGCCCCGAGGGCAGAACTGAAAAATTCAGTATTTGAAAGTGGCGCCCGAATTGCAGCATGGCGCCAGTTGTCCAAAATCCTACGGTACCAAAGGAGGGGTTTGGAAAAAGGGTGCCAGCCCGAAAACGGGATGCAGCCGAAACAGCAAAAGATAGACCAGGGATCGA